CAACTCCTAACATTCTGTGTGATTCTGTGAAACTAAAGCCAAGGAGGTAACCTTAACCATAAAAGCACTGCAGGATGTACTAAAAGATTTTACTCATTGTCCAGGTTAGACTACTACTGTCTGGATGATGCGATGTTGGGACAACACAGCTGATGGCATAGAGACTGATGTTAAATAAAACAGGCAGCTGGGATCACTCGCCAGGAAAGGAGGCATTGACAAGTCACTTTCAATAGTAGATGAAAAACCCTGCAGCCTCTCTGGGCAGCCTGTTCCAGTGCTCTGTCACCCTCACAGTAAAAAAGTTTTTCCTTATGTTCAGGTTGAACCTCCTATGCTCCAGCTTGCAAGAGAAGAATGAGTTTGAAAGTAGTATCTCATCATGAAAGGGTTTTCTTATTCTTAATTATAAAGTGACTGTAGTTATGTAAATGAGAAAATAAAAAATAATTCAAGAATATTTCCACTCACTTTCAGAGGGGATTTTTTTATGTCCTGGTATTACTGGGATTGAATCATAGAATTCAATTTTTCTATTTAGGAAAGCAGCATTTCTGAAAGAATTGCAGTGTTTGAATTAGTGAAAACAAGTTGGTAAGTTGTTTTAGTTTTAGCTGAGTTAGAGTTATTTTTCTTCATAGTACCCAGTGAGACTTTGTTTTGGATTCATGCTAAGAATAATGTTGATAACATAGCAATGTTTTGGTGTTGCCAAGCAATGTTTACATTATCTCAAGGATTGGTTTTGCCTGCACCTGTGCTCACAGTGGTTTGTTGGTTTGTTAGGGGTTTTTTTTCCCCCTTTCCTTTGCACAAGAAGTTGGGGAGGGATGTAGCCAGATGACACTGGATATATGACCTGGGCGTGATCCAAGCTGACCAACAGAATGTAATTTATACCATAAACTCACCACTATACTTCCAGTCTATGCCACCTCTCTAAAATTCTGATTCAACAAACAATACTCTCATATAATTAAGACATTATTTAAAACAATCAAACAAAAAAACCCTCAAGCTAGAAGTGCTTCTAGTTATGAGCTTAGCTGGAAAACTAAAACAAGCCATAAGAAAGGCCAATAAAAAGTGAGAAGAAAGGAAGTTATCTGAAATGTCTCTGCTGAAAGACTCACTCCAAATATAGTCAGTTAATGTATAAACTTGTCTAACACATTTCCAGAAGCAAGTGACCACCAGTTCTAAACACAAGATCATAAATTCCCAGCTTATTTTCTCTTTGTAATTGTGAAAACATACAGTTAACTAAACAAACTTACCATACAGGTACGGGAGTTTTCCCCTATGAATGAATCTCTTAGCACCTGTGTAAGTTTACTTGCTCTGAATGGGGTATGAGGTTTATTTCGGCCTAAGGCTCTAATGCACTCCTGAAAGAACAAACAGAATTATATTTATTCAGTCCATGTTAAAGAAAAATACATAATGCAAATGCAATTCAAAAGCAGAAAATATATGCCTTAATTATGTTGCTGTCTTCAAAGATATAATTATTATTAAATTTTATTATTATTATTGTTAAAGTTTGATTTCAACAAGTGTTATGCTTTTACCTCTCATTAAGCTCAGTAGAAAAGTAGGAACTTAAAAAGGATTTAGGAGCCTAAAAAGTTTCTGTATCTCATCCAAAATGTTTACATATATTGTATCCAACAACAACAACAAAAAATTCAGTGTCGATGTTAAATCTCCAGACTATTTCTGATTATGAACTGCAAAAGCCGGAATGATTTAACAGCCTCTGCCAGCAGAAGCATGGACAGTGATTCACGTTAACTCTATAGTTAAAAGCAGCAGCTTTGATTCTGGCTCTACCACTGACTTTCTTTACAGCTCAGAAGAAAACACTGGTGCCCAAACTTTCTGTAAAGCTTCCACAGGTCACAAATCCAGTAAGTATAGCTCTATATTGATGTAATCAATATTGGAAGACACTTAAAAATGTAAGTTGTTCCCTGTTTTAAAATACTCTTCATGTGAATAAACAGGGATAACATCTTCCCTTTCACTCACAAGAAGGGTATGGGGCTAAACTAATATTCGCAGTTGGTTGGAGAGTTCCAGAGAGAAATACTGCACAGAAGTAAATATTAAGAAATTACTACAGAAGTTACAGCAGCAACTAAGTACATCAGTGCAAATCAAGATCGCACTAATCTAAACATCACTTCTGCCCACTCAGAGTTCTAACATCAGCTAAGAAATTACAGAAAGTTTACATTTAAATTTCTGGTTTTTTCCTTTTGTCATATTTTGATCATTAACTCCAGTTTCTGGCTTTGCCTTAATCCTATGTGTACAGGCATCTCTTCAGATTCAGGGCTTCCTTGGTACAGTTTTAACAAGTTTACACACAGAACTTCTTCAAACAACCGTACATCAAAATCTTTTCATATTATAGCTTTGCTTTTAGCAGGACAAACAGATGAAATGGCTTTTGTGTTACATGAATAGTTCTACAGTAGTTCAGCTAATACTCCAACTGCAGCCATATCCTTGTGGCTTTTTAAAATTTCCTAGAAACAGCTTCTTCCAAAAGCCAGACTAGAAACTGTGGCATGATAATCCAAGAAAGCATTACAACTGTGAAACAGCATAAAACAGAACTAAATGAGCTCAGAATAAAACTGCCATGATACAGAACAAACACAAGGACAAGTTGGCTTTAACTAAAGTGATTATTAAAAAACTACCAGCTGAATTCTATAGAATGAACACAGCTCAGATAAACAGAAAGACCGAAGCTTGTTGAATGTGAATTTCACATGCAAATGCTAAAAAGGACTCAATACTTATAGGTGAGCAAGGCAGTGCATTCCTTGAAATTTTTTAATTTGTTTGTACATTATTACTCTACTTACATAAGGAGAAAAACAGATTAGACAGGAAGAGGGCCTACAGATTTTCAACAAGTGACATTACAAACTAAAACCAGCAACAAATGTGTCTGTTGAATTACTGATATGGCAACCAACAAGTTTAATAAAGATATTTTAATTTAATATAACGATTTTTAGTTTGCTCTCTCTTGAAAAATTAGAATTGGATTGTCTCCTTAATAGTAAAAGGATTATAGGACACTTCCAGCTTCTAAATTAATGTAGTTTTTAACTACCTTTGCTTTTCATCACAGCTCAGAAAATCAGGTAACAAAATGACACTACTTCCACATAAAGACATTACAGAAATAATTTCCTGTACCAAAAATCTGAACAGGTTAAGACAGGACTGATATTCACATGCAAATATTGGATTAGTACCAAAAACCACTCTTCAAAACATACTAGTTTAATTTGAACTTGACTATAATTCCAAGGGTCTTGAATACAAATGGAAGAAGCTGTGTAATGTTTTTTGGGATAGATGAACATTGGAAAACTAAAATATCATTAAGAAACATTTATATCTTCTTGTACCATTTTTTAGACCTCTGCAAGATCTCTACTTCTCTTTATTTCCGCTTCCCCATATAATTTAGATCACAACCATTAGTACAGCAGCAGCAGAACCTTTCACTATAATTAAAAAGACAAGCTGTATGAAAATGAACCAAATAAGTTGTATTATACTGAAGGCACTAGCCAGCATAAAATCAGCAAATAAACTAAAAAAAACCCCAACAACAAAACCAAAACATCTTTATTCAATTATTTTTGGAAACAAGTGATAAGATCAACACAATGTTGTCTGAATTATTTATTTTGATACTAATCAAAACAGGCCACAGTTTTGGAAATGCTGCTTCCAGTTTTTCAACATGACATTCAATTTTGTAATGACACACTACAATTTTGTGGTGTTTTGTAAGATCTGCTTAGAATCTGATACAAGTCTTCCCTTGAGTTTATACTAGGATAAAAAAGTAAGCACAGTGGTTTTGGGGTTTAGCTTCTTTATATAAGACCACAGTGCTGGTGCAGAGAGTAGTGAACCTAAGCAAAGCTAACCAACGACAGAGAAAAGTTCTGGGCCATTCAAAACTAATGTTTCCTCAACTGAAACAGAAAAAATACTCTCCGTATTTAGACTGAACCTCTTTCAAGCATTATAAAAGAAACAAAAAAGCACTTGAATATTTAAATAATATTTCTTAGCTATCTTGTTGTGTTCTGGATAAATGTATGAAAATCTGCAAAATGATTGTATCAGACAATTTGCTATAAAGAGTAGTCAAAAATAGATTCCTACTTTCAAGGGTTATTTTAATCAATTTGTTAATTCTTTCTGGATATAATGCTGCTGTGTTGTTTTCTTCTTTAGTTAATTAATTAACAACAGTAAATAAATGTGTAATAAATGTAACTTTATTTTTTATCTTTTCTTAAAAAAGAGAATACTGAGATAAGTAAAATATTTCCAGTTAGTATTTCAGATCTTGAGTACCAAAGTAAGCAAGCTCTCCTCCCATTTTAGGTGCATATCAGAAAAGTGTTCAAATTCAACTACTGGGAATTTTGGGGTTATTTTGAACTACATATAAGCTGATAGCACAATGTTTCTACTTGGTAATTACCAAGTGTTTCTTCAGGCATTTAAAGGAAAAATCAATATATTATTTTACCTGTCGTATCAGTTGTCAATGTAGACAAGCAAAGCCTGCAAAACCACTTGTTTTAATAGTCATTGCTATTATATGTAGAAGGCTTCCACCTATTCAAAGGCAATAGAAACATTTCAGTTACCTTGAGTGCTAAAAGGCTCTTGTTAATTTCTGCACCTTCCAGTCGCGTCTGCCTATCTGCACTGGAAGTATCTGCTCCTCTTTCATTGCCAGCCAAATCAATCAGAGAAAATTTACCATGCAATTTCCCTTTCCTTCTGAGAATAATCTGAAACACTGCATGGCTTCGAGATGAGTGTGCATTTGCAGATGTCTGGCCAGATGTCCTTTAACAAAAGGAAAGAAAGGAAGGACATATGAACAGGCAAAGAACCATACATGTTAAATACAGTACCCTCAGAACATTAGTTTTTTTCAGGGCAGAGTCCTGTATTTACCTCAATAATTTGATGTACATAGCATAATTATACCTATTTTTCCAATTCTTCAAACAGAAATGGAAGATTATTAACATTTTACTTCCCTTTTAAAAGCAAGAATAATCAGATTTCCAAAGATTTCAGACTATCAGAGCTTACATGTAAAATGCTGCATGTGGCATTTTTATCTTATCAGGCAGTAGTCTATGCACAAGGTTAATTTAAAAAACAATAAAGGTGGATATTAACAAAAAAATATTTATACTTAACTTCTGTCACTATATATCAAGGTCTTTTAGAACTGAAGAATCTGGCAGCATTCCAGATTATAAATGATGTGAATTTAAGTCAGTAAACCGATTATATAATGCATGCAATTCACATACTGTAGCAAAAACAGGTTCTATTTCTCTCTAGGAGAGAAACTCTAAATTATCTTTATTCAAAGGATAGGCAGATTCCTTACTTGCAGCCAACATTATAAAAAAAAACCAAAAACCACTGCATATTAAAAATCCATCACTATGAAGAGACACACAAAAAAATCTTGTTTCAATTCTTTGATTTACAATGAAAAATTGGTGAAGCTATGGGAGATACCTGCAGCTGTTGCCTATTTCAATAAGCTTAAGAACATCTTCAACACATTTGACTTCCCGTTCCTGTAATCCCACAACCTGGACTTGCTGTTTACCATCTTCTAACACTCTTAATTTTGTCTTCCTGTTCAATAAGTCAAAAACCTAAGCAGGGGGGGAAGGAAACAGAACAGTTAAAGAGGAGCTTTAAAAGACATTTTTGCTTCAAAACTTGTATCAAAATATGCAAAGAATTCCATGCACAAACATGATTGGAAGGGAAGTGTAAAGAATTATTTTAAATAAAGCTTTCAGTACAAAAAGAAAAAAAAATTCTATGTAACAAGCTCACAATCTTGTTTGTGAAGAGAAATTCCTCCTTCCTCAGAAAAAGATCAGATACTTACCTTACCACTGTAGATCTCAAAAAATGTTGCATATACTTGAAGTTCTAACTTCTTATAGCTTGGTTTCTTTAGCATTAAAAAGACATCTCGAGCTGTGAATACATTTCCAAAATAAAAAGAAATCTAGTTATATATTTTAATTTAGTGACGTTTCATTAATGCATAACAGTGGATTTTACAGCATCTCTCATATTTTGCAGGTGTAACAGATAGGGTCAGTAAATCAAGTAAAAACCACTAGTTTTGTGCTGGTTTTGGCTGGAATTGAGATAATTTTATTCACAATAGCTATTATGGGGCTACGTTTTGTATTTGTGCTGAAAACAGTGTTGACAATACAGGGGGATGTTTTCATTATTGCTGAGCAGTGCTTACACAGAGTCAAGGACTTTTCTGCTTCTCACACCACCTCATCAGCGAGTAGGCTGGGGGTGCACAAGAAGTTGGGAGGGGACACAGCTGGGACAGCTGACCTCAACTGACCAAAGGGAAATTCCATGCCATATAATATCATGCTCAGCATATAGAGCTGGAGAAAGAAGAAGGAAGGAGGGACGTTTGGAGTTATGGCATTATGTCTTCCCAAGTAACCGTTGCGTATGATGGAGCCCTGCTTTCCTGAACACCTGCCTGTCAATGGGAAGTAGTGAATGAATTCCTTGCTTTGCTTTGCTTGCGTGCAAGGTTTTTGCTTTACCTACTAAACTGTTTTTATCTCAACTCACGAGTTTTCTCACTTTTACCCTTCCAATTTTCTCCTCCATCCCACCTGGGAAGAGTGAGCAAGCAGCTGTGTGGTGCTTAGTTGCTGGCTGGTGTTAAACCATGACAAGTTTAAACTGCCACATTACATTGGAAGATGCGGAAGACTCCAAAATTGTAAACTTAATAATCAGTTATATTTCTTCCATTTTTGAAGTTATCTACATATATATTTACTTTACTGTGTAAAGACTACACACGTATGAACTATTTTTTATGTTATCAAAGCTCCACTCTAATGCAAAACATGTAGACCCTTATGTTTGTACGACAGTAGAAATGTATTGACCTCAACTAATTTGCAAAAAGCCAACAGAACAATAAAGTCTCACCTGCAAGTGCGTATATTCCTTTAGAACAATCTTGGTTCTTTCCTGAAAAGTCACCACCCATAGTCTAAATTAAAAAAAAAAACACAAAACAAAACAAAAGACCAAAGATACACTATAGAGATCACAAAACTGTAACTTACATATTTTTTACTTATTAGAACTTATTGAAGTGTATCATATACAAAAAAGTATATCGCTGACATTAAGAAGAAATACTTACATGGGTTTTTCCACTGCCTGTTTGTCCATATGCAAAACAAGTGGCCATTCCCCTTTCAAATATGGTCTCCACTAATGGTCGAGCTGTAAACCTTAAATGGAAAAAACCCAGTACTTAAGAAATTTAATTACTTTAAGATGCCACACTACCACAAGAACACTATAAATTTTAATGCCAGAAGTTCGAAAACTGATTTTATACTTTGAGAGGCCAAAGAACATCTCCACATTCATTCCTGAACTAAAGAGGCTACCAGCTCCAAGGCATTAAAATATCCTAAGCAATTAAACAAAAGTCACAAGTTGTTTCCCATTTACTTTTACAATATTATCCTCCTTCAAACCTTGAGAAAAAAAAATCCTTGTTTTAATGACGCAACATGGCACAGCTTATTACATGGAATTTGGAGCTCCCTAAAGAAGACAGCATTAGAAGATACGCAAGTAGGACAGTGCAGCAGATAAATACTTTGATTTTGCCAACACAAAAATTTTGCCATAGTTTTGGTTGGTTTTTTTTTCTCTAAATCAGCTTCCAAGATTACGTTTAGAAGACAGGTGGACAAAACAACATTGCACATCTTAATATTTTGAGAACATAGTTATGCTGAGAAAAGGCTCAAGAAAATGTGTACCCAAGCTCATCAGAATGGAAAAATCCAGTTATCCCTTAAGTATTATTTGATGTGACAAAAATATTCTCCAAAGCATTTTTCTATTTTAGAGAGTTATTTTTTTACTTTAAAAAATGTAGTTATTGCTCCTACTTCAGCTGCTTATCACCATTACATCATTAAAAACTCCAAAAGCAAAGGGTAAACTTATGGAGGTTTACCTCTACTAGGTGATGGAGGCAAGAGTCTGCAACAGTCTCTCTTTCTAAACTTTTTCCAGGTGTTTACACATAAAGTATATTTAGTGACAGAAAAGAGAACAACTGTTTACAGAAACACTGAAATGTTACAGCCTCATTTCATTCAACTTTGGAACAAACAAATCTTGCCTATCTCCCTACCCTTTCCTGATTTGTCTGCCTCCTGAGGATGCAATACACGCTAGAGCCTGGAAAGACAGTGCTTGGAGGAGGACAGAGCAGGACTGAGGTCAACAGAAGTGGAGATGATATTGCAGATGAAAAATTCAGGACAAACAGAGCTAAACCAAAAGTAAACAGGCAAAAGAATGGAGGTAGCAATATACATATCTGATAACACAGAGAACAGAAGTAAAGTCCATAACCAAGGTAAGCCCACAGTTATTGACATGGGAGATACATGAGAAAAAAGATTCACAAAAAAAGCATATACACATACCTATAAACCATTTCATTAGGAGCCATGTCATCAAAGGCATAATCAAAACGAAAAGTTTGGTTTTCTAGGTACCTTGTTAAATCCACTTTTTGTTTTGGTTCATGTACCATCACAACGTCTTTACTAGGAACTGTTATTACATCAAGGTCTTTCATTAAAGTTTCTATAAAATAAATTAAATATATATATATTTAAGTAGCAACATATCACTTTTAAAATATTTTTTCATTGTTTACAGTCTCATAACATCTCGGATAACACAGCTTCTCCAAGTAACAACACTACAAAGGACTTAGACTTCTGATACCTATCTAGTAATCTGCTAAGTAAGAGATTTCATTTTGGAAGTCTAGTCATCCTATCCTACCAAGTGCTAGAAAGTAAAGAGAGGTTGTACAAAGTTAATGATCTTCATTTTTCTAATCAATGATAGCACTATCATTATAACTTAATTTTAAAATTTTGTATTTTGATTTTCCCGAAATCCTTAAAGTTATAGTCATATATTCACAGCTTTCAAAAAGAAAAAAAATGTTTTCATTCTACACATACATTTTCATTTGTGTATTCCTCCTGGAATCTAAAGTATACATCTTTAATATAGAATTTCTCTAAAGTAAAATCCTTTCTAAAAATTATCTTGTATGCAGAAAAAGCTGAAAATGATAATGATGCTTTACTGGGAATCACTGGGAATGAACAAAAGCCATCTAGATGGAATTTCAACAGTGAATTCTGTTCTCAAATTCTCCTTCTCTGGAGACATTCAAAACCCGCCTGGACGCCTTCCTGTGCAACCTCATCTAGGTGTTCCTGCTCCGGCAGGGGGATTGGACTGGATGAGCTTTGGAGGTCCCTTCCAATCCCTAACGTTCTGTGATTCTGTGATTCTGTGAATTCCCAGGTTATAATTACTACACATTGCTACAATTTATTGCTAATTGTTGTATGAGACATGACTCAGCAAAACAGAGAACCCAGCAATCCATTATATGCACAAAACTAAAGATCCTTTCTATGTACAGTCAGGATCACTAATGTGTCCTACTTGCATTTCTATGTAAAATTTCTTAAGGCATGCAGTTCAAGAATTTGATGTGGCTTTATACAACCAGACAGAAATTTTCATCAGTTAACATAGTGATCAAACAGTACAATGGTTACCATTGCATGACATTACACACCAACAGAAATATGCATTCAAGTCACTATAGAATCAATTTTTCAACTGCACTGCAATAAAATAAAATGCAATTATTCTGCAGTAATCACAGAGAAGAAATAAGGAACAGTGATGAAAAGATATATATAAAGGTCAATTCTTTGCAGAAAAAGCTTCTTTGTTAAAGGTGTCAAAAGCCGTTTTTTTCTTAAACAATTGCTTGAAATAAGACATTTACCTGCTCCCAGCTATTTGTTATGACTATCTGTATACCTTTCTGACAAAAACTTGAAATAGTGTCTCTGAAACCTACCATGCAATTATATAAATTCTCAATTATAAATATATGTCACTGAAATAAAATCTTAAAATGTCAATTTGAAGACGTACTTCCTGCTAAGTCAGTCCACAAAATGTTTGGTGCTCAAAAAACAACTAAAGGCTTTGATGATAATTCTGTGTTTGTGAGACTGACAGAAATTAATTTCTACATTTGATTTCCATTAAATTATTTTAACATCTTACAGAATTTCAAAATACAGAACATGAAAGGGGAAAGATATTATTTTCGATGTGTTGTTATTGCAGTAATAAAGGAAAAAATATTTATATTTTTTCTCTCCAGGGTATTACACACTAATATCTTAGATTCCTTTATACTTTATATAATTTCATATAATTTTAAAACGCAGCATGAGAAATGTTGTTTCTTATGAACTTTCAAAATAAAAGTGCATGTTCTTAGAAGACTATTATGTGGTACAAGATTATCTCTGTGGTTCCTCCCCAGCATAGATTATTTCATTAATACCTTTTTATTATATCTTATTCTTAAAAATGCAAAATAAAAGTTTATGCCAGCCTAATGGATTGCTGGCATAAACTTTTATTTTGCATTTTTAAGAATTCCTGAATTTCACAAGTGCTGCATTCAGCTGTGTACCAGAAAAATATTAATGGAATACTGTTTGTGGAGAGCAAGAGGCAAATACAAAGATGTATATGTGCTTTCTGGCTGTTCAATAACATGTAAACTTGTGAGAAATTGTGTGTGGGAAGTAATT